TCGCTTATAGTTTCTCGTTTATAGAAGATTCTCGCTTATAGTTTCTCGTTTATAGAAGATTCTCGTTTATAGTTTCTTGTTTATAGAAGATTCTCGCTTATAGTTTCTCGTTTATAGAAGATTCTCGCTTATAGTTTCTCGTTTATAGAAGATTCTCGCTTATAGTTTCTCGTTTATAGAAGATTCTCGCTTATAGTTTCTCGATTATAGAAGATTCTCGCTTATAGTTTCTCGTTTATAGAAGATTCTCGCTTATAGTTTCTCGTTTATAGAAGATTCTCGCTTTTAGTTTCTCGTTTATAGAACATTCTAGATTATCCAGGTTCGACTTTATATTTTAAAAGAAATTAAAAACATATATTACCCGAGTGCAGGCGTGGTGTTAGCATTGAATCCTCCAAGCGACAAGCCGGTGCCCAGAGAGGGGGTTGTACCAAACATGCTGTTGCCAAGACCGCTGTCTAGACCTGAAATTATACAGAAATATTTAAAATTCCTCGTGTCACAATTTTCGTTCCCATACTCCTCTGAAACGGCTTGACCGATTCTCATGAAATTTTGTGAGCATATTGAGTAGCTCTGAGTATCAGACAACAGCTAGTAAATATATAAATTGCTGTTCGTTAATCTCGCTAAAACTTGAGAACTGAACGGATTTATCTTATCTTGGTCTTGAAATGTTCCTGGAGGTCTAGGGAAGGTTTAAAAGGTGAGAAAAATTCTAATAATCGCCGGGAAAACCGTAAAAACAGCCCTTTTCTTTTTTCCATACAAACAACTGAATGTATCATGCAGAAACTTGTCATAGACGTAGAATATAGTATGGAAGAACACATAAGTTAATACTTATGTTTTTTTTAATTACGCGCAGACGAAGTCGCGGGCGACAGCTAGTAATACATAAATGTATTATATTAGTTTCGTTATATATATACCAACCTCACTTTTTCGCGTTTATTGGAAATATTATAAATGCCAATGTTTGGATGGATGGATGGATATTTGTTTGAAGGTATCTCCAAAACTGCTGAACGGGTTTCAATGAAATTTGACATACATATAGAAATAGTCTGGAAGAACAGATAGATAGAATAATTTAGTTTTTTTTTAATTCCGCACGAACGGAATCGTGGGTTACAGCTAGTCTAAAATAACTCACCAGTCCTGAAGGTATTATTCTGCTGCGGCTGAGCAAACAACGAGCCTGTGCCAAGATTGCTGAACGCTGGTGCTGCCGCCGGCTTCGCCTGGAACGATGTACCCAGACCACCACCCAGACCTGTCGCTGGAATAGTCAGTGTACTGGAATACTAGTATGCTAATGAACTATTTTTTTTCTATTATTATAAAGTGGCCATAATTCGCCGAAATGACGAAGCAACAAATTAACATGCAGACAATCCGAGTTCCCTCTTCCGTCTAAATCTTTCCCCTTCCGATCCTTTCCTTATAAGGGTGGACGAATACTGGAATTACTTCTGCTTTTCACAGAGGACGGGACACAAAAGGAAGAGATTTCCCTTTCTTGTGCGTCCCTTCCTCTGGCAGTTCTTTCCCCTTCCCATTCCTTAAAAAATGGTGGTAAGGAAAGGACTAAAAGTAGTCCCTCTCACAGATAAAAATTGTTGACTTTGATTTAATTATAACTAAACTCACCAAAACCAGTATTCTGTGTCTGTCCACCCAACATGGGCGTAGTATTCGGTTTGCCAAAGTTACTGAAGAAACCGGCACTCGAGGTGTTCGTACCGAAACCAGTTGACAAATTTCCGAATGCTGAAAAAACATTTAATTTTTATAATTTCATACATTTTTACAGAACATTCAGTATGACAGTCTGATGAGTTTGTGTCCCGGAGGCCTAATTTTAGTCCTCTTTTCCCTTCCCACCCTTTTTCTTATATGGAAAGGATGAGAAGTGGAAGTGGACTTTCCGGATAAGAGGATGCATAGAAAGGGAAGATATTTTCTTTCTGTGCATCCTCTCCTCCGTCGATTAAAGATAGACAACGTATATGCAGTTGCGTATGTCTATGGGCAACGGTCACTTCGCTATTTCAGCAATTTCAGGTGGCCACTCGCTCGTTTGCCATCTTATGATATAAAAAATGAACTCACCAGAGGGTGCAGATGTGCCAAAAGTGGGTGCTGTGGTCTGCTGCGGCTTTGCAGTGAACAGTCCACCACCAAACCCACCAAAGCCGGTACTAGCGGGTGTCGAACCGAATCCAGTGGTGGCTGGCTTGCCGAACAAACCAGTACTTTGTTGCTGGAATTAATATTTATTTATTTATTTATTTATTTATTAAGACAGGCCAACAGCATACATATAAAAATAGCAGAAAAACAAAAATCACACAAACATTTTACATATGTATGCCAATAACAGGCATGCACAAATTTCGT